CAAACGAACCGAATCGAGTCGAATAATTAGATTTTGTATTTGTATTTGTATTTGTTTAATTTTTTCGAATACGAATTCGAATTCAAATATGAAACAAATATTAATTTTGATTTGTATTTGTATTTGTTTAACAATATGAATAGTTAACGAATCATATACGAATATCGAATCGATTTGAGCATATGTTAAATATTAGTCAAATAGCACTTTAAAATAATTTTTCTTATATTCCATATTTTTTATGCTGTAGATGTATGATATGACTTAGGATGTTTTTACTTGGACTGTAATTTGTCCCTGACCAGACCAGATCAGACCAGTCCAGACCAGACCAGATTTGGGTAGTTATAAAAATACAAAGAAATCAGACCAGACCAGTTCAGACCAGACCAGTTTAGACCAGATCAGACTAGACCAGACCAACAAATTAAAGTCCAAGTAAAAATGTCCTTAATATGTGTTTTTAGAATTTAAATTTAATGGAGCAATGCATTTTCAGATGGTGCACAACATACTAAGTGAATTACTTTTACGATTAATAAATATAAATCTATTTCAAATTTTTTGAAATAAACACTAATAACACACATATATTAGAAATTATACTTATATTGTGTGAAATAAGTTGATAATTGTATATATCAAAGTCAAACAACTCTAATTTTATTCTTCAAATCGAATACATAATTATATGTTTTGTATTTGAAAGACATTTGAACCAAAAAATTGATTTGTATTCGTATTTATATTATGGTTTATTACAAATGGGCTCGGAATCCGTATGCAAAAATGTATATATGGCTTCACATTGAGAGTATTGCTATCTTTTAAAAGTTATTATAGTGTTATTACTATTATTATTTATTAATGTTGATATTAATATTACCATTATTATTAATCGAATATATTTGATTAATATTCGAATCGAATACACTGATATTCTTATTTGTATTTGATAACAACTCCAATCAAATTTAATATTCTTATTTTTATTTGAATTTTCCGAATTCGAATCGTCTTATACGAATTCGAATCGCGAATCGAGCACAAATTATTTGATTCGTTTGCAACTCTAGATAAGACAATGGGAATTTAGGGTGAGTACTCAAGCCATAAGCCTCTTCAATCGAAACATCTTCTGGCTTCATAGCTCCAGGTAATTTCCAATTAAACCCATGCAACAAATTTGCCAACGTTGCCTGCACAACCTTCAATCCTAGGCTATAACCGGGGCACATTCTCCTGCCTTAAATGGAAACAATGAGAAATATTTAACTTTTATGTCAATATCACTCCCCAAAAAACCTCTCTGGTAAGTGTTTGGTCTATTGGAACAGGGGCGGAACGTAGTACAGACCCAGGGGGCGGTCGCCCCCCAACAACACAATTTTTTAGTGTATATATATAATAAAAAATAATTTCCGCCCTCCCAAAAAATATTTTGTTTAAGTTACCGCCCTCCCAAGACAAACTAGCTTCCTGGGTCCGCCCCTGTATTGGAAGGAACCCAAAGTATTGGGAGGAACCGGAGCCAAAGGTTGTGTACCCCTAGAAGCAGGTTGGATATGACTGTTTGATTGTCCAAAACGGATGACTTAAATTTTATTTTGATCGGCAAAACGGATGACTTAAATTGATATCACAACATTCAAATAGGGGGGTAAAACGACAAAAGGAGCACAAACAACCGATCACCTCCAAAAAAGTAATATAACTCGATGATCTTATAGTGGGCATAAATGAGCCAACGACGGTTAAACCAGACCCCCCATCACCCAATCCAGATGCAAGAGTATTACAACAATAAAAGTAACTAACATAAAAATAAACAGTTTGATCATGAAAAATAAATAGCAAGCAAAAAGTAAAATTAAAATAATGCTTCCACACCCTAAACTCTCCTGCACTCCATGGCGGTGATTCAGGAGGGGGGCGATCCAACAGTACTGTAGCATCTTCCGCTCCTTGCCTCCGGTCCAGATCTGTCCCAGCCTCTAGCCCCACGCTTCGTCCATGACCTTCTGATCTCAATCATGAATGACATCCTCGACACTCTTCACGTGCTTCTAAGGGTACACAACTTTTGGCTGCCATATAGGAGCTGCGGTCTGCTGAAGAAGAAAGTCTCACGAAAGGCGAACGAAATCCGCAAAAGGAAGCCGCACTTTGTCGAAGACGAAAGCGGAGAAAACGATCACTAAACCTAGAGGAGACGGCCGCCTGTTAGGCAAGAGAAGATTGAAAATTTGATTTCGTTCGTATATGTGACACCGCACCCGAACGTCCTTGAAAATTCGATTTAAAAATTCAAAGTTTATGTATTGAATTTCCGATTTCCCAACAATTGTAAAACGATTAATGTTTTACGTAATTGATGATCAATTATTGTACTGTTCGAACTCGTATATTAGTGTCGGGCTTGCAAATACTTAGTTAGGCTTTATTAATGAACATAAGAGCCCAACATTACCTAAATAATGTTACTTAACCTTTCAAGAAAATATGAGGAAGGTCGGGCGGCCCAAACATTATTTTGGGCCCAATCTGCTAAAACTAGCAAGTATTCGAGAATGGCGTCCTAGGCCCACTCGGGGGTGACCCACACGGCTAGTAGTCCAATAATATGTATGACAAATGTCAAAATAAGTGATAGAATGGTTAGAGAAGAATACAAATGCCTATAGCCCCATCTTTGACATTATTGAGCTAAATAATGGGAGTAGGATTTTCCTCCTATAATATATATCAAGTAAATTATTGAGATGAGCCTACACATATTGGAGATCAATAATGTGATGTAGGAAGTTGACTTGTTCTAAATAAATTAGGATGAGTACAAAAGACATCTTTGACAAAAGATAAAACAATAGGACCCATCTTCCCATTTTTGGAAGTATTGGTAGATATTTTGGACCCCAAAATAATTGGGATCAATTGGGAACCACTCCACGTGATATTAGTACCTGTAAGACAAATAAAAATGGGTGAGAGGACTTACCTTGGCCGGCCAGCATGGAGAGGAGCTGCACAAGACTTGATAGGAATCAAAGTTTGGGCAACCATCTCTATTTTTCGCACAAATTGGTGTGCTGTTTGTCTCCACTCATTATGGGAGTTTTACTCGACCAAATAATGTGTGTGAGGTGTCCTTGAATAGCCTTTGAAGTCTAGTTTCTTATTTGAGTGGTCTCTGTGCGAGAAGGGAGAGTTTATCATACAAAAATCGAGCTGGAGTGAACTGCTGTCTGTAAACTCGAGCAATGAGAGTGTTGAGTCTGTTTGGTTGATATCTCGAGTTATACCAATCCAAATAAGGCGTGAGAAATACCAAAGGAAATCTCTCAAGACGAGGAATCCGTGAAGGTCTGTTTTGCATCAATCGGAGTAGTAGGAAGGCTTCCAAATCGTCCGGGCAAAACACAACTTCGCAGGAACGGATTTACTCTTCTAAAGTGAGTTCTAACCCCAAAATCTTTCCTTTCATTTTCCAAATGATATGAACGATTGGTGGAACTATTATACACTACTCCAAGTGTATAATATGTCATTGTAAAGTTATTTTATTGGTGTAAAGGTTAGATACTAACCTAGAGCAAATCTTGGAAAACTAGGAAATGAGTTAGCCGGAAAACACCCATTCTAGGGGTTGTTTTCGTACCAACAATTAGGGGTTGAACTAGCACTTTGAGGAGACTGTTTAACACTCATTTCCAAGCAAGTAATCAGTTCTCATACCTTCTTGGCCGAGGCTTTGGTCGTTGGATCGAGAAGGAAGGTTTTAAAGCTCATTTGAGGTGAGGACCGACATCTAGTTGCTTACAACTTGTAGGTTATGCATGAGATTACCTAAATGCTTAAATCATGTTTTTGTGAATAAATATGTTTGAACATGATATGAATGATAAGTAATGGAGTTGACCATGAATTGAAAACATATTGATGAATATGGAGTCATATGAGGTAGAAACATGCTAACATGTTAAATAGATTTTTTTCTAACTCTTGTAAGAATGTTATGTCCATGTGAATGTATAGTTGCATGATGATGCTTAGCACATGGGAGGCTGCCACATATCTATTGATGTGGAGGGGCTACCATTAAGAGTAAATGAGTCGTAGGAATAATCTTAATAGTATTGTGATGCTAGTTAAGGATTGTTCGAAATATCGATAGAATCAAACTTAAAGGTTTGGGTTTGTTTGTGATGAACTTGAATAAGATTCAAGTGTCAATTGTGAATTCATGGAGTAGGAGATCTATGGTGTGATTTTATGAAGTAGGAGATCTATGGTGTGATTTTATGAAGTAGGAGATCTATGGTGTGATTATATGAAGTAGGAGATCTATGGGGTGAATACATGAAGTAAGAGATCTATGATATAATTGTATGAAGTAGGAGATCTATGATGCGAGTGCATGATGATGTACTCGAGCCGAACTCTAGAGAGGAGAAGTTATATTAGGGTCGAACCCTATGTATTGTCGTGACTATTAGTCACGGGGTTTGGGAAATGTTTTGTAACAAACATGGGCCTTTGAGCCGACTACTTGACTTTATATAAAGTAAGTACATATTTTAAAGGGGTAATTTGGGATTACGACCTATACTATATTATCACCCTATTTGAGGGTCTTGTGTGTGAAATACTTGTTGTATATCTATTAGATGCCTGCCACACCAGTACTTTATAACCATATAGAGTACTGACCCCTTCGGGGGCGTCCCACCACCATTTCAGGTTGAAGCTCGAGCTTGTTACCTGTGCCCGTTGCTCGGGTGATCCTTTGGAGAGAAGACGTGGTTCGTGCTTTCTCCATTCTGTTTTGAACAACATTAAACATGCTCATGGATATTTTACTATTGAGCCTGCGTGCTCATGAATAGCCCTGTGTGGCCCTTTTGTTTTAAACAATGTTTTCCGCTGCGTTATGAATTACTTATTATGTTTGTTTATGAATGTTATATGTGTGAATGATATTCAAGACGCCTTGTATAATATGAATGTGTTGGACTGCGGTTGACTATTCGTATTGTACGGCGGGTTGTTGACGTGTCCGGGGAGGTCCGGGGCGTGACAGTATACAAGAGTTAACATTATTGATAGTTTGAATTGTTACATTCTCCTTGTCTTAATTATTATAAAGTTCATCCAATAATACAATGCAGGTATAGACTTAGTAGAGATGGGTGGGAAGCCTTGGTTCAATGAGGTAAGACAGTTGAAATTTGGGGTGAGTGGTCAAGCCATAGACCTCTTCCATAGACACATCTTCTGGCTTCACACCTCCTGATAATTTCCAATTAAACCCATGCAACAAATTTGCCAATGTTGCCTGCACAACCTTCAATCCCAAGTTGTAGCCGGGGCACATTCTCCTGCCTGATCCAAATGGCAACATTGAAAAATCGTTTCCTTTTACGTCAATATCACTCCCCAAAAACCTCTCTGGTAGGAAGTGCTCGGCTCTCTCCCAATACTCTGGGTTCCTTCCAATAGACCAAACATTAACCAAAGAAATTGTCCCTTTTGTTACCTCGTAACCGTCGAGGTTGCAATCTTCCATGGAATAACGTGGAAGCAGTGTGCCCACTGGATGCAACCTGAATGTTTCCTTAATGATGGATTCAATGTATGGTAAGTGTGCAATGTCTTTTTCTTCCACCCATCTCTCCCTCCCAATAACTCTGTCTAGCTCTTCTTTGGCCTTTTCCATTACATTTGGTTTCCTGGCGATTTCTTGAAAAGCCCATTCCAATGATCCCGTTGATGTATCTGTGCCGCCAGAAACAACATCCTACCCAATGCGTGCAATAAGAAAAATTGTTATAAAAGCTTAACGGAAGACAAATGTGGATTGTATATTTTCAAGTCTCAACACTTGTATATGGAATCTCTATGACTCGTATATAAACTAGTATGCACAGAAACAAATTCACATATTATACATACATGTGTATGTGTGAGTTTATATCCAAAAGATCATTTTATCTTAGTCACTCCCATTTTTTAACTGATAATTAACTTTCATTCAAATATAGGCTCTTGCTTATTCATGTCGATCATAAGATCTTCTTTTGAACAATAATTTTATTCACGTAATGATGAAAGATAAGAAATTACCGCATATAAGAGATAAATATTATAAGAAAATTACTAAGTGGACCGATGATTCCTGAATAGTTTTTTATTTCTAAACTAATTTTGTTTAGCATGTATGTTATGTGTATTAATTCTATGTTATGTGTATTAACTCTATGTTAAAGTTTCACACTGAATATTATCTCTAAAAGAATTAAACACTATAGATGTATGTTTTGGCTTGCTACTTTTGCGTTTAAAACTGTTCGACGAGTTGTACTCAATTAGTTTTTTAATACATTCAATGTCATTTATTGTTATGTAAGAGTGTCATTTAAGAATTGTGTTTTTATTGTGATTAGTCATTAAATTTAAATGAATCTATATGATAAAAAACAATATGTATGGGGCCCTTTTATGAAAATTGACTCAGGCTCGAGTTTAGGTAGGACCGGTACTGTCTACATTTTACTTGCACTGCAGTGTTTTTAGGGAGAATTCTCCAAAATACGGAGTAGCACTAAATGGAACTTTAATCATCAGAATAAAATCATAACTTAAAATATCCCTAAATAGGCTTAGTTTTTCAATTCTACCTTTTGCTTTGTTTTAATACAATTCATATTTCATTAATAATTAAAATATAAAATTAATAACATAACTTTTATAATAAAAATGTAAAAAATAAAAAAGACCAAATAAATATTAAATAAAATTAATTTAAAAAATCGAAAAATAAAAATATTATAAAATAAAAACTTAAAAAATTAAAATAAAATAAATAAATAAATAATGAAAAAGTATATAAAAATATGCAGGTCTATGTTAATTGCCACCTCACCAATCTCTCAGCACCACCGGCTCCGATCACCAGTAAAAAATGCCAACATCTGTCATAAACGTCATCTTGACGGGAGTTTTCAAAGAGTAAAAATGTCTTTATCATGGCATTTTTCTGAGAAAAAATGTCAGTTTTTACACAAAATGGAATTTTTAAAGGTGTTTTATCTGTTTTTTATTTATTTTTAATTTTTTTTTATTATTTTAAAAAATTATTTTTTATTATTTTAGTATTTTGTTAAAATATGATAAAATATGCTTAAATGCTATTTTGACGGGATAAATAAGATAGCCACAGAATTCAAAAAAAAAAAAAGATACGCACATGTATTAAGCCCATGATGCGATGACGGGTGAGAGCAACCTCGGACTCTTCAACATTTGGATCATCAGCTCGCTGCAGAAAAACATCAATCAATCCATTGGGCACAAAATCCTTTCCGGCGGCTTTCATCAACGCCCTATGCTCCTCTATCACCGGGTCCAGAAACTGCTCGTACTCCTCGCTAAAACCTTTCACTCTTTTCTCACAGCCTTGCAGGTCAAAGGGGCGCAGCCACGGAACCCAATCCCCGAGATTGCTGACCAACCCGCCGAGTCGAAAAAATTCATCCACAAGCTCATTCAGCCTCTTCATATCGATCGGCGCAGTTCTCAATTCCCTCCCGTCCCCTGTTTTGCAAGATTTCTTGTGATCTGAAAGTAGTCTTGCTGAAATGGAACCAGTCAGTTTTGACAGGTGGTCTCGAAGCAGGACCGGTTTACTCGCCGCTGCCGCCTCGTAAAGGCGGGAAACAAGAGATATTCTTTCCTCGACCCGGACGTACTCGAGCGAGTCAATCTTCCGAGTCACGGCGAGTTCAGAGCTTAGAATCCTCCGGCCCTGGCGGAGCCAGGGCCCGTAAGGAGACCAGAACAGTGCGCCGCCTTCAAAAAGGCGCGCACCTAGGGCGGGCGTGTGGCGAGAGGCGAAAACGGCGTCGTGGGTTTTCAAGACAAGTTTGGCTGTTTTGGGAGAGGACGCGACTAAAACAGGGGTGGAACCTAAGTTTAAGAGCATCAGCTCTCCGTACTTTTGGGACAGAGAGTCTAAGGATTGGTGTGGGATGGAGCCGAGGAGGTTCAGATTTCCTGTGATTGGCCATGGCTTTGGACCGGGCGGAGTTTTCCGTTTTCGTGGCTGTCTTTGATTTATTATGAAGAGAAAGGCTATTGTGGCCAGAAGCCATGAAAAGGCCGCCTGCTGCTGAACAACGGAAGCCAGGAAATACTCATAATTATAGGTCATGACTGAGAATTGAAATTGATGGATGGATGGATGGTCAATTGGCCCTTGAAATGTGAACTGGTGTTCTATTTATAAGAAATGCTACTTCTCATGACTCATGACCTCTTAGTACACTGACGGAACAATTAATGGAAGATGTAATTAGACTTTAATCACAAATTGAAAGATAGTGAGTTGGGATTAGAGCCAAGTAATTGAATTGTAGATACACATTTTTACCTAGCAATCTCCAATTGCAATTGGCAGGATTCGAATCAAGACTTACTCCTTGGATTTCACCGGCCTGAATACATAGCGGCATGCATATAGCAAGCAGGATGGCTACCTACCTTGCCTACTAGTTTGCCCAACATATGATTCATTTCTGCAAAAAAGTGTCCTTGTCTCCATCTTGATGATGAGGTGCCTTGTTCTATATCGATTGACAAATTCAGGCATGTATCATTCAAAGCAATCCATTGTGGCATCATTGTTTTGTGAAATATGGATCCTAGAATGATAAAACCAAGAACCTAATATTTAAAATTTAATGAATAGGGCTAGCTATTTGTGATAGAATAAAAATACTCTTATAGAGTTGTCGGTCCGTGCCAGAGTTTGTAGCCGCCGCCAAAGGACTGATACCGGACTACCGGTTATGAAAAAACTAGGAGAAAATTAATTATACTCCGTTCGTCCCGCAAAACTTAGTGTAGAGGAGTGATCTCATATTATTATTATTTCTCCTCATCTTTTTTTCTTGGTATTTTTTATTGTTTTATCCTTATATATAAAAACATTATTTTTATCCTTTTTATTTTATCATTTTTAAGTATATTCATCCCGTTTTATATTATCTTTTTTATAATAGCTTATTATTTTTTAATCTTTATTTTCTTTCTTTTTCTTTTGGTGGTGATATCATGTATCGATTCATGTTAGCCGACTCCAATATCTTTTGGGACTAAGGATTGGATGTTGCTGTTGTTGTAGTGATGGTCAAGTTTGATCTAAAATAATTGTTAGTTTAACATTACGCTAGCGCCACAAAGACTTCCCACCTACGGTGCGGTAATTAAGGGGGAGTCGGATGCACGCAACTTTATCTCTGTACTAAAGCCCAGAGAAACAGTTTCCGAATGACCTATAACAAAGAAGCGATGAGTCATTTTGTTTTATTTCATCATATTTATAAACCAAAAAATATTGAGTCTTTGGCCTCATTAGAAATGATGGAATGTGGTATAAAATTACTCTATTCAAAATATGAAAATTATATATGAAATTAAAAATCTTTGACAAAAGTATAAAGTTAAATTATAATTTTCACACAAATATAATAACTAAAAGGGATATTACCCAAAATAGGACTGAAACAGTTTGAAAATTCCAAAATAGGACTTCCATGTTTTTATTCCCGAAATAGGACTAATTACTGTCATGTTTTGGCAGTACCAGACTTTAAACATGGCAGTATTTTCCAAGTTTGGCAGTAATTAGTCCTATTTTGGGAATAAAAACATGACAGTCCTATTTTGGAATTTTCAAACTTTTTTAGTCCTATTTCGGGAACTTTCCCTAACTAAAAGTATTATCCAAATTGAGGCCTCAAAAGTCATACCTTGAGCCAAAGTAGCATAAGAAACGGGCATAGAATTATCTACCGGGCGGTTCCCAATGGTCCCAGTCGGTTGTGGCATGAACAACCCGGGACTGCCAGACAGTGTGGGACCAGCGAATCGTGCTCGAGCCACACCGGCAGCACTCGTCTTGGCCTGCGATTCAGCTGTAAACAGCGGCAGCATGTGTAACGGAGGCGGCTGCACCGTTGGTACCGTCGGAGTCCATGTAAAAATAGGCGGCACCCACGAAGAAGAAAGCGGCGAGATCGGAACATCATCGGTGATGATGGACGTCTGTGGCGGCTCTGAGGAGGCGTGGTGCATCTGTTGAGCCGCGCTCAAAACCGGCGTCTCAACCGCCGTGGTTAACCCGGCGGTGGCGGCTATTGTTACGGCGGCAGCGGCGGTCGTGGTTGGAGAAGCCATCGAAAAATTTAACTGGCTAAAAACCTAGAGCTCTTGATACCATGTGAGAATAATGGGAAGGCTTATCAATGTGGTAGCCCTAGGTGTCATATACTCCGTATATAATAAAATATGCCCTAAATACATTAGGAAACTTAATAAAGATGGAAACCTAATTAATGAGTATTAATTACACTATTATCTCTGATCCTCCTCTAAAAATCCAATGACTTCCTAAAAAGGAAATGGATTGTCGGCACCACCGTAAATGCCGGAAACATCATCTACATCTCAATGGCTCGTACTACCACTCACAAGGGCACCCACCTAGGGGTGGTTCGGTACGGTATACCGAATATTTTTGCTCATACTTTTACCATACCATAAATTTTTGGTATACAAAAATACATACTGTTACCATACCGAAATTTCGGTATACCTTGTTTCGGTATACTGAAATTTCAGTACGGTAATGTACGGTATCAGTAATTTATCATGATTTAACATAACAAATTATTATATGTCAAATAAAATATAAAAAACATGTGTTAATAATGATATACTAAAATGATTAATGAAATTAATTGTAAATTACCAATGATAACCTATTGGTGTTCTATTCAACTTTGAACAAAAAATATTACTCCCTCCGTTTTAGTTTCTTTAACACAGTTGGACTTGTCAACATTTAAGAGAAAAATTTACTGAAGGGGGAATTTTTTTTTTTTACACTGTTTGGCACTGTTTGAACACTGTTTGGCACTGTTACAACACTGTTTGACACTGTTTTGCACTGTTTTGGTAAAGATTTGTTTACCAAATAAGGAAGTGTGACATTCATTTTGAAACATCCAAAAAAGGAAAGTGTGTCAAACAAACTGAAACGGAGGGAGTATAAATATATTTAGATATTTCGACACATAATATATGAAGATAACATCACATTCTGCTAAAATAAGAAAATTAAAAATGATTATTAAAAGTAAGAGTTCTAACCTTGAAATGCCGTCCAGATTGATTTTGATAGAGAGAGATAAGGATAAGATTTGTGTGTGGTGAAATGATGTGTTGGTGGTATTGTGCAGGGATATAAAGTTTAAAAAATGTTTGACGGATTTCACTATCGGATATATCCGTCTCTAGTTAGTGACGGATAGTTCCGTCACTAATATCGGTCACTAATTAGCGTCTACAATGTATCCGACGCTCTTTCCGTCACCAAACAGTGGCGGCTTCAATCGGACGCCAATTATTGGCAGATGATCATCCGACACTAAATCCGACACTAATTACCGTCGGAATTTGAATCGGACACAAAAAGCGGACAATAATTTCCGGATTTGTTGTAGTGTTTATTTTTTAGCTATTTGTTGTTGCAGTTTTATGGAGATACTCATACAAGTCTACAACACGTCGGGAGTACGTTTTAATGTTACTGAGTATATGTCCAATGTTTAAAACATCTACATACTGCATCGATAAAATGTCTAAGCACAGATTTTATGTTTTATTTTAAAATAGTTATCAGTTCGAAATCTTGTTAAAAACTACTCCCTCCGTCCCCCTAACTTTGTCCCGTTTTACCTTTTTCGTCCGTCCCATTAAGTTTGTCCCATACCATATTAGGTAATATTTGAGTGGTTAGAATTCATTCCTACTTTATTTACACTTTATCAATTCAATATCAACCACACAATTTCACTTTTTCTTAAAAACACCACCACACTCTTTTGTCCCAAACTTAGGGGGACGGAGGTAGTACGTAAGTACTTTTTTTAATCAAGAAATAAAAGTTTTTTAAAACATGGATCGAAGATAGTACAATCTCTAATGAAAGTAGAAATTCAAAGAAATAACATAAAGTTATTGAAAAAAAATATGCTAATGAAAAAAAACTAAACGATCCAACCGAATACGAAACCTGTCTTGTCAAAGATAGAAACCATTCAAACCAACTGACAAGATCTTTAATAATATCAAAGATACCAATTGAAAATGACATTAGCATAAGAATGTCAATAGCTATAATGACAATGTTAATTTTACAAAAAAAGTCACAACGTCGTAAATATGTTGTAATGTTAACTAATTACGATGACAATGTCATAAGAATGTCAATGACAATAGTTCATTAAATTAAATTAATTGTTAATGATTACAAATGATGTATGTTGACAATGTCATTTTCATAATCATTGACATTCTTATGAGATTGTCATTGTCATTTTTATGACATTGTTATTGACATTTTTATGACATTGTCATTGACATTCTTATGACATTGTCATCGTAATTAGTTAACATTACAACATATTTACGACGTTGTGACTTTTTTTGTAAAATTAGCATTGTCATTATAGCTATTGACATTGTCACAATAACATTGTCATAAGAGGCGATTTCATATATAGGATGTTTTTGTAGTAGTGAAGTGAACTAAAGCAACTACAAAATATTCCTTTAGATTTCCGCTAACTTGAAAAAAGAAACACACATATCTCAACATAATTTAAGTATGGGAGAAAGACATAAATAGGATCAAAACATTGGCATGGAACACAAATAGGAGTTCAAGTTTTTTAAACCCCCAAATAGGAGTACTTTTTCCGTCTCGGACAAAAATAGCCCCAGCCCCCAGATCTCAAGTTGCGGGCGCCGTGTCGCAATTCCTCCAGTGCAACACAACCAACCAGATTCTTCATCTTCCTCAAAGCTACCAAACACCCATCTCCAACACCAACAATTTTTTGACCCTTTTCCTCCTAATCATCAACCGCACAATTTAGAAATACGGTTCCCAGCATATATTGCTCCAAATATACGCAGGCACGCATCATCATTCACCTCGTCCACAATCAACAACAATGAGGCCCTTGGTGACTGGATTAATTATCAACAGCGTAATTGTTCTCGTTGGTCTACGGTCAGTGTTGAGTTTAATTCCGGTCTACCACATCTTGTCGCCGGAGTAGTCGGCGGACCAGTCACCGGCACAAGTCTTTCTCTTTTTCTTTTCTTTCTTTCTCTTCTTCTTTAGTGTACGTTCAGCGACATATCTTCCCTGGATTTTCGTAGCTTTTCGATCTTGTTTTACTTTTCAATTTGATAATTCTAACTTTTGATTTTCTAGTTTGTAATACATTTTTGTGGATTCATTTACTATTTTGATGAATTCAGTTTTCAGTAACTCTTTTCATCAATAATGATAATACGATGAAAACAATGTCTTCAATATCTTTATTTTGTTAGATTTTATTGCATTATTTTGGAAAGTTAATTAAATTACATTGTCCAACTCTAATAAAAGGGGAAAACAATGTCTTAATAAAATGTCATGTTAAAATAAAGTCAATTTTATTGAAATTTGGTGTCACAATTTAATCATTTATGGCTATAAAATTTTCATTATGGGTGATAAAGCTCTGCGGGATCAAACTTTTCACTAACAATGCTACTATTTATAAAAATGTCAATGACAATGTTATAAAAATGCAAATGACAATGGCATAAGAATGTCAATGTTATCTTGACAATGTCAATGTATAAAAATGTCACCGGATAAAGAAAATGTCCCAATGACATTGTCATTTGTAATTGTGACAATGTCAATAGCTATAATGACAATGTTAATTTTACAAAAAAAGTCACAAAGTCGTAAATATGTTGTAATGTTAACTAATTACGATGACAATGTCATAAGAATGTCAATGACAATGTCATAAAAATGTCAATAACAATGTCATAAAAATGACAATGACAATCTCATAAGTATGTCAATGATTATGAAAATGACATTGTCAACATACATCATTTGTAATCATTAACAATTAATTTAATTTAATGAACTATTTCTTTAAGGTAATTAATTATGACTAAATTATAATTTATTATATTATAAAAGAAAAAAAGAAAAAGGAATTAAAACAGAAATGTACTCGTATTTTAAATAAAAACCTACAAATCCTTAAACCAACCAACAACTAAGTCAATGCAATTCTCAAAGAGAGTAAAATGCCACACACACTTTGGGGATAATACCCAGTTTGCACATACACAGTCCCAACATTACTATGAAAAAAAAGCCAGGACAGGGACAATCGTTTTCTCTGAACGGTAGGACCGTAGGAATCTGGACTCTTTGGTATGCTTTAACCGTAGGAATCTGGACTAAAATGAAAATTTAAGAAGAAAATCTAAAAAAAAGTGGATAGAATTGAAAAGAGATGATATGATAATATTTCAAATAATATGATGCCATCGCTTAAAAGTCAGTGTAATACATTATATGATAATAATGTAGTATGTATGATGTCATTGTTTAAAAATCAGTATCATCAAATGACAATTAATGTACGGAGTAATATAGTATCATTGTTTAAAAATCAATGTGAATACATGGCAATGTAAAATAATGTCATTCTTTAAAATTTCAAAGTCATTGTTCAAAAGTCAATGTAACCTAAATAGGGTGAAACTTATTATTGACAATGTATTACAATGTCTAGGAAAATGTTACTCCGTACAATGTAAAAAAAAATCACAATGTCAAATAACAAAAATGACAATATTAATGTTATGGATAATGACATCTAATAATGACAATGTCAATGCTATAAAAATGATAACATCAATGTCAATGTCAATAACTGTCAATGTTATGAAAATGACATTGTTAATAATGTCAATAGTATAAAAATGACATTGTTATCAATGTATTATAATGTCATTAGATGACCATATAATACATGCGATGTCATTATATGACAATGTAGTGATGACATTGTTTGAAAATTAACCACTTTCATGTGACATTGCGAAATTATGTAATAACATAACATTATGACATTCTAAAAAATTTAATATTGTTTTCGTCAATGACATTGTGATATAGTGACATTGTGAAATATTAGTAGCATTGTGACACTCATATGACATTGCAATATTGACATTGTGATGTTATTATTTTCGTTAATGATATTGTGATATTGTGACATTGTGAAAATACTAGTAGCATTGTAACACAGTGACACTCATATGACATTGCAATATTGACATTGTGATATTGTTTTTATTGATGACATTGATATATTATAATAACATTTTTATTAGATTCAAAATTTGAAAAAACAACAAATATACAGTAAAAGAAGAAGTTGGATTTTTTATGGATAACCTATAAAATTATATTGAAAAAGACAACAATTGCAAAGAAGACTACATGTTACAAACCACCTCGCAACATATCACCTAAATCCTAGAGGCCATACCACTAAGTAGCAACAACTTTGCAATAACATCAAAAACAAAAACTAGCTGGCAGAACACTCCTATAAAAGGGTAAGTAGAATATTAAAAGTCAATCATATTTGGTGGATAAATTCTATACAGGACTTTGTATGTTAGAAACTGAATTTCAGCCAGTATACTCTTAACATCAGCCACCCTTCCTTAAAAAACTTTCAAATTTCTTGCCTTCCAATACTATGAATGGTGCAGCATAAAACCAACCTTACTGCTCATTCTGCTCCTTTGAACTCTTTTTTTACAGCATTTAATTACACTTTCAAGAATTGAATTCACTCTCCTTATTCCCACCAAAGCACATACTGCCCCGCCCTCCATATCCCATTAGTAATGGGAAAACCGAAAAAAAGATGCTCAATGCTTTACAAATCAGAATTGCAGAAACCACACAGCCTATCAATATTCAAAAACCATAAGCTATTTGCTGTTGATAGCCGATTCTGGATACACAGCCACACAATGAAAGAATAGTTTGGAGGGATATAGTTTTTCTAAATCAAAGACATCCAAGGTTTTGAAACATTTTTTGTTCTCAGCAAATTACAAATTTTCGAAGACACCAACTTTCCATTGTGACGTTTTGCCACAACTAAATCAGAAAGTCAAAATAATGAATGAAGAACAATTAAAAATGAAAGAAGAAGATTTATTAAAAGAAGAACCATTACCTCGCCGTAATGTAAATATGTAATGAAGAATCAAAAGAAAAGGGAGGAAAAAAGAGGATAGCTAGAGAAGAAAGGAGATGAGGATAAGCAGAGCAGGAGAAGGACTGAAGGAAGATCGAAAGAAGAAGAGTAGAAGAAACCACACGTAGCAGGGATCTGTCCGCTGCCGCTGACTCCGCCGCCGACTCTTAACCGCCTTCACCGTCACAATCGGAGTACGTGTAGTGTCCGAGCTTCTGTGTGCTGTTATGAAGAAGCTGAGGTTTCAGATCTGATCCTCTGAGCCGTTCAAAGGTAGCAGGGGTAAAAATGGTAGGCCGGTTAAAAGTAGTCTTATTTAAGGTTAAAAAAAGTTAGACTCCTATTTAAGTAAATAGAGTAAGTTTCGGTCTTATTGGGGACCATTTCTCTTTAAGTATCAATAGAAAAAAAAGATTTTTATAGATCATGTAAAATTTTCACCATTGGTTTACGTAACCAAGGAAACATACAAGACTTAACATTATTGATAGTTTGAATTGCTACTTTCTCCTCATGTTCTGACTTCCCAAAATTGAAAAGAAATTGTAACAAACCTTTTGATCTTATTAAAGAGTTTATTTAATAATACAACACAGATATTGACTTAATTAGTAGAGATGAGTGGCAAGCCTTGGTTCAATGAGGTAAGACACTGGGAATTTAGGGTGAGTGGTCAAGCCACAAGCCTCTTCCATAGACACATCTTCTGGCTTCATACCTTCTGGTAATTTCCAATTAAATCCATGCAACAAATTTGCCAAAGTTGCCTGCACAACCTTCAATCCAAGGGTATAGCCAGGGCACATTCTCCTGCCTGATCCAAATGGCAACACTGAAAAATCTTTTCCTTTGATGTCAACATCACTCCCCAAAAACCTCTCTGGTATGAACTGTTCAGCTTTCTCCCAATACTTTGAGTTCCTTCCAATAGACCAAACATTAACCATAGCAAGTGTCCCTTTGGTTACTTCATAACCTTCAATGTTGCAATCTTCCATGGAATAGTGTGGAAGGAGTGTGCCCAGTGGGTGCAGCCTGAATGATTCCTTGATGATGGAGTCAATGTATGGTAATTGTGAAATGTCTTTTTCTTCCACCCATCTTTCCCTCCCAATAACTCTGTCCAGCTCTTCTAATGCCTTTGCCATTAGATTTGGTTTTGTAACTAATTCTTGACAAGCCCATTCAACTAGTCCTGCTGATGTATCCGTCCCGCCAGAAACAACGTCCTACCCAATGCGTGCAATAAGAAAAATGGTACAAAAATGTATCAAAATTCGAGATTTGATTTAATTCATTATAAAAGCATAGCGGAAGAGGAGTTGGAAATTTTAAATGTTGGTCAGGAACTTATGTGGATTGTACGTTATATTTTTTGAAGCACATGTACTTTTCACGCCTGACTTATGTAGAGGATGCATATCGATTTGATTTAATCGAACTGGAGCGGAATGTATCAAAACCATATGCTATTTGGTTATAGTTTGGTAGTTTTGTTCCAAACCGTATTAAACTGAAAAACACTCAATAAAACTGAATTGAACCGAACTATAAAGAAATTTAGAAAAAACGTTCATATGTTATTACAAAATAGTCCAAACCGAACTAAATTGAAAAATGTATAGTAAGATTGTGATCTGATCTTGTTTGATAATAATTCTTCTAATTCTTTCCAAAGCGAATCAAAACACGAATTGAGAAACGATATATATGCCCACTGAAATTGAAAGAGTAGCCAGCCTAGCATGAAAGGTGGAAACGCCTTAGGTTGGTATTAAGACCCTAGCTAAACTAAAAAGAAACGATTAATTGATAGAATGATCATATAATAGCTTTAAATTAATGCATGGCACGTATACAATATAATATACGTACATGTATTAAGGCCATGATGCGATGACGGGTGAGAGCAACCTCGGACTCTTCAACATTTGGATCCTCAGCTAGCTTCAAGAAAACACCAATCATCCCATTGGGCACAAAATCCTTGCCGGCGGCTTTCATCACCGCCCTATGCTCCTCTATCACTGGGTCCAGAAACTGCTCGTACTCTTGGTTAAAAGCTTTCAGTCTTTTCTCACACCCTTGCAGGTCAAAGGGGCGCAGCCAGGGCACCCAATCCCCAAGGTTGACGACCAACCCGCTGAGTCGAAACCATTCATCAACAAGCTCATTCAGCCTCTTTATATCGATCGGCGTGGTTCGCAATTCCCTCCCGTCGCAAGATTTCTTGTGATCTGAAAGTATCCTCGCCGAAATGGAATAGGTCAGTTTTGACAGATGGTCTCGAAGCAAGACCGGCCTTTTCGCCACCGCCGCCGCGTAAAGGTCGGAAATAAGAGCCATTCTTTCCTCAACTCGGACGTATTCGAGGGAGTCGAGCTTCCGAGGCGCGAAGAGTTCAGAGCTCAGAATCCTTCGCACCTGGCGGAACCACGGCCCGTAAGGGGACCAGAATAGCTCGGCGCCGTCGAAAGGGTACGCTCCCGCCGCGGACGCGTGGCGGGAGGCGAAAACGGCGTCGTGCGTTTTCAGGATAAGTTTGGCTGCTTCGGGAGAGGAGGCGACTAAAACAGGGGTGGAGCCGAAGTTTAGGAGCATCAGTTCACCGTACTTTTGGGACAAAGAGTCCAAGGATTGGTGCGGGATGGGGCCGAGGAGGTTCAGATTTCCGATGATTGGCCATGGCTTTGGACCCGGCGGAGTTTTCTGTTTTCGTGGCCGTCTTTGATTTATTATGAGGAGAAAGGCTATTGCCGCCAGAAGCCATGGCAAGGCCGCCTGGTGCTCATGAACAACCGAAGCAAGGAAATATTTATTCATGATTGATATATGGAAGTAAGCATGTACTCCGTATGATACTACGTGCGTATTTATACTCATAGTCGCATGCATACAGCTAGCAGGACGGCTAGCTACCTTGCCTACCAGTTTGCCCAACAATCTCTTTCATTGCTACCAAATCGTGTCTAATTGTTTCCTTGTTGATGAATGATGATCAAGTGCCTTGTTACTTCCATATTGGCTTGCTAATCCAGACATGCACGTACTGCCTCCCTCCGTCCCGTTACAAGGTTCTCACTTTTCTTTTTTGGACGTCCCATTAGAAGGTTCTCATTTCCATTTTAGGAAACAATTAACAATCTTAAGTGACAAATTAGTCATTAAATATTAAAAATAATACATTTATAACATCACAGTTATCAATACTAACACATTATAATATATACTTATTAAAATTATTTCTCAAAATATACCCGAAGTACTTTATTTAGTTATCAGATCACCTAAAGAACTGTGTCGTTTTGCTATGGGAACCTTCTAACGGGACTAATCTACCCCGGAACTAAGCTACCACAAATTATAGTGTGACATCATCATTATTCAGAGCCAGGGCCGTCTAATGAATTTAGAGGTCCCGGTTCGAAATGAAAAATTGAGGCTCCTTTAAACTAGATAAGATACAAAGTTTAACAATGAAATGCAAATAGAGTAGACAATTCAATGGTATATAACTTTTATGATGTTTAAAGTATACAAATTAGAGAATTTAAAAGTTTTTAAATTATTTTCGTGTGGAATCTTGAATAATACCTAACATCTAAAAAATCAACTTATAACTAATACTACATTCTAAATTTTTGGAGGCCCCCTATAACAATAGGCCTCGGTGCCAAGCACCTATTGCACCTCCTAAAAGACGGTCGTGTTCAGAGCCCTCCCAATCCCAGTTTAGTACTTCGTACTAAAAAAAGTAGCAAGTTGCAGGACTAATTAACCACAAGTGGCAGCATATGTTCGGTAGTTTTACCCCTAATTTAATTGAGGGAAAAGTACGGATTAGCTACATGTTGTTGTGGCCTGATGTGAGTTTTCTCGCACTTAAAATACGTAGTAGAATAAGGTGTAAGTATGAGTATCGTCTCCACAGGAACAGAAAAAGGAAATTAAGTTTGAATTAAATTCAGCGATTAAAAGAAATAAAATAAAATGTAATTGTGCGAGATTTGATTGGTTGGAAAATTAAAATGCTGCTAACGAATAAAAAGCTTGATTCTTTCTAATTAATTACGGAAGAGAACACGGATTGACTCCGGGGTAATCAGATTTCTAATTAATCACATGAAGATTATTTAATTGAGCAACGCTAATCAATACTAAGTTCTAACTGCTCTCGCGGCGTAGAGTACAATATTTTAGGGAACCAGACTAATCTCTCATGCGACAGGATTCTAAATTATTGTCAAAACGAGCGAGCGTATAGTACGGCCACTTAATCACTACTAATCTCTTAGCGAACGATTAAGTGCGTGTGAAGGTGTCATAGAATAAATTAGATCTCTCTTAATTTATTCTACAAGCAATTATAATCCTAGCTGCAGTTCTAGGTTACAAGAGATATCAATTCAATCATTCAAACACAAACTAAACAACATTCATGCAATTAATCCATCATGAAATTAGCCCTAGATCATGATTAACCCCTTCATCAATCCCAAATCCCTAATTAAAACAACTCACAATTCATAATTGAAGAATCAACAGAATTGGGATGAAAAGAATCAATTGTCATTAATTAAAAAGTAGGAACTTACAAATAATCACAGGGTCTTGAAGAACAATGCGGAAAAATACGTAAAAACTCGTCCATAGGCCTCTCTCTAACCTCCGTAACCAAAACCAAGGGTTTACGGGGTGTTTAAATAGAAAATAGATCAATCCGGACTGAAATAAAACACATGGGGGCGAAATAATATCGAGCACGACGTGCCCGATCGGCAGTAGCACCAGCGTGATTTTTCTGCTCCACGCACGGCGTGCTTACTTCGGGTGCATGGTGTGCGTCTTTCCCGTACGAATTTGACTATGCTTCCTTCACCAAAGTTGTAGCTAATGAAGGCTTCTATCCATCACAACTTGCAAAACTGGATTTGAATCATCCAATAAAAAGATATGAATAAAATGATGGAAGATCTCATCTTGAAATCTCAACGGTGATTATATGACTGCTTCGTCTGTTTTCACCTTGTTCCTCTCAGATTCTCGTAATGGTGTCTTCATATGATTTGTATCCCTTGAATTTAGATTTCGTATGGAACTTTAATCGTGTACTTTGAATGTTTCTACAAAAAGATATGCTTGAACGATTGACAGAACGTCATCCTGATCGCCGTTTTCAAGCTCTATTCGTCTTCTTTTGATCCCGTAGCCAATTCTAGAGCTCTTTTGTCTTCAAAACTCCGTCTTTAACACCTCATTGACCTCCAGTGCTCCTAATTGACTCGATCTCAAATGCGTCTTAACTCTCTCTATTACTTCTCAAACGCCGGTGTGGGGCTTAATTCCTTGATTTTGACTCCGAAAATACCAAACACGAACAAACGCCTGGTAAAATATGACTTGAGCTAAAAATGAGACTTATGACACCTTTAAGCTAGGAAAACCATCAAAAGCCGATTTCAACACGCATCAAATGCATGTTGAAATACGGAGTTATCATGGCCATTTGCGGAGATCAGAGGATCATACGTTTCAATTTTTGTCAAAGTGGTATTCGTAGTTTACATCCGTTATCGCCAGATAGGTCTCAGTCTACGTCCATTAGAAATTAATGTCGTGGACCGCTATTTGGCCAAAATGGTTTCTGCGTGGCCTTTATGTTATCCAGGTCAGTAAACATTTTGAGTTACAGACAAACATCACTTAAGTATGTCTTAGAACTCAAACGACGTTTTAGGAGGGATTTTGGCGGTCGGAGAAGAAGCTCAATCCAAATTTCGTCTTGATGCTGTCAAAGTAAGTTCAATATTGAAGAAAGTAAGTTCACCTTTGTCGTTTTACGCATATTGTGTTATTATTTGGGTGTTCAATTTGGTTTGTGGCGTCGTTGAGGTTTTGGTGTTGAATATTGTATTGTGTGGTTACGTTGTTTTTGTGATATTGTGTCTACAGGCTGGGAATGGATGATGAGCACGTGAATCTGTGGATTCACCATGGTGGTAAATGAGACTGTCCGAAGCAGAAAAAGAATATTTGGTAGGTGAGGTGCTCAAAAAGGAAAATGTGGACATAGACTACCTTAGTAAGTTTGAGTTAGGTGGGTATGTTGAGGACTTTGGTTATATTAATGGGGTAGATATGTGGTTTAGAAGGCTCAGCATTAGGGAGGTGTGTGAGCCTGTTTCTCTGCAATAAATTGTTTGTGCTAAAGATGTACAAGACATGTTGGTTTCCAACATAATGGACCCACACATTTATGTTTATTTTATTTCCAAAAAAAAGTAAAAAGGGGAATTTAACAAAAGGCTCCTCCAAACCTTCAAATTCGAATATTGCATCCCAGGGTTCTGTACCTGCCCAAACTGTTGAGGAAGCCCAAACTACATTCCTTACTCAAACTGTTGAGGAAGCTCACAGTACAATGCCTACCCAAACTATTGAGGAAGCCCAGACTTCAATGCCTACCTACACTCCACCAACTACCCAAACTGAAGCTCTAGCCACTACATTTTTATAAACCCAATATGGTAGTGAAAGTTACACAGATGAAGATTACCACTGCTCAACTCCTGTGAATGACACTTCTTCAATTGACCAATCTGATTCCAACCCTAGTGAAGCTAGCTGGTTATATGAAGATCTAGAAGGAAGTGAAGAAGAGTTGTTTCATGAGGCAATTGAGGATTTAAGAGAGGAGTTGGAGGCAAATGCAGAACACCAAGTTGATGATACACAGGTGGATGCAAGATGGGTAAATGAAGAAGAACTGGGGGAGTTCAATGAAGAAGAGTTGGGGAGTTCAATGAAGATCCATCCTATAGTGAAGAACTACACAGCATAAGAGGGTCATTAGATGATGAGGCTAGGCTGTCTGAGTATAATGAAGAAATAACATCTAAGGTCATTGAATTGTGCAAAGGTATGAAATTTTGCTCACATGATGAATTTAGAAAAACACTAAAGTAGTAAGCTATAAAAGCTGATTTTGATTTAAAATTTTAGAAGAAGACTAGGGCCAACATCTCTGTAGTTTGTAAAAATATGGATACCTGCTCTTTCAAGGTCCATGCTTCCAGACTTAGGGATGCTCCTTATTTCCAAATGAAAATAAGGATGTTTCCAGACCTACACATGATTGTCCATTTAATAATAGAAACAGTCTGGTGAGTAGCACCTTTTTGAGTGACAAATATTTTGTAACACTTGAGATTTAATATAAACGGATTAATAGTTCTACTCATACCAACATAGGTGCATCTCCTTTTAAGGGAGCACATCAGCTATGAACTCCAAAGTTAAGCGTGCTTGCACGGGAGTAGTCTTGGGAAGGGTGACCCCCTAGGAAGTTTCTCAGGGTGTGCATGAGTGAGGACAAAGTGCACGCTAAAGGCTCGTGGTGGTTTGTGAGGACAGTACTAAAGGTCCCGAGTAACTACCTCGGGTCCTGCGGGGCCGGGGTGTTACAGGTGGTATCAGAGCAACCCCGCGACATTTTGTTGACCCGTTGGATATTGGGCGGGCACTTAGCGGGGGAAGATTCTGGGATTTGATTGAGATTGGTTTAAGGGCGCAATGAGGACGTTGCAATCCTAAGTGGGGGTGATTGTAACACTTGAGATTTAATATAAATGGATTAATAGTACTACTCATACCAACAGAGGTGCATCTCCTTTTAAGGGAGCTCATCAGCTCAGAACTCCAAAGTTAAGCGTGCTTGCACGGGAGTAGTCTTGGGATGGGTGACCCCCTGGGAAGTTTCTCAGTGCGTGCATGAGTGAGGACAAAGTGCACGGTAAAGGCTCGTGGTGGTTTGTGAGGACAGTACTAAAGGTCCCGAGTAACTACCTCGGGTCCT